GCTAGGTGGTGAAATTCGTTTACTTTTTTTCGCTATTTTATGACTCTTTTGAAATTAGGCAAGTTCAGTGTTCTCTGATGTCTTCACTTATAAATGAAGTCTTACTTAACACTCGCCAGGCTCTCTCATTCAGAAGAAATAATGATCATACGAAACTGAGAGAGGCATCTTTCCCTAGGACGAATTCTGCTTTACGTAGCTGGCAAAATTTTAGAATTTTTTTCATTTAAAAATTGAAAAAGATGTAATGTAAACTTTTTTGTGGTTTTAGAAACTTTTTTTTCATATTAACAGAACTAAAAGTAAGACGTCATGATGACTGATTGTAAAAAAATATCATTTTTTTCCATGAAAATGTCCCCGGTGAAATTCTCTATCGATGAATATAATTTGTATGACTATTAAGTGTCGCCTGAATGAAAAAAAATCAAATTAAAAAAGTTCTAATATTTTGTCGTTGACTTGTGATGTATCGATAAGAGTTTTATTTTATCGGAAAAAAATTCTAAAGAACTTAATAACTGAACAAAACTATTCAGTTATTATTATAGAACGCTAACCAAATAAAGTTGGACTTGATTTTGGTGGTTTGTTCAAATATACAAATCGTAAAATCTAAAGTTATACCAGTTTCGTATAGCAGAATTTGCTCTAAAGAATGATACTTCCCTTAATTTCGTCCGATCATCATTTCTCCTGAATGATAGGGTCTGAGGATTGCTTTCTCTGTACATATTCTGAAGTTAGGAGTCGTTGTGAAAACTTTGTGCGTGGGGACCTCATTAAAAAAGATCCATAAACTGCATCATCTGCAAGTGGTAGTTTCAGCTTACTTTTCCAAAGATCAACGTCGCCATGTATGTGCCCTCATAAACTCAAAGCTCCAGCCTTTTTCGTTCCTAAGGTATTCAAAAAACATCTATAAGTATTCTGTTTTGAAACAGATAGCGAACAGCTTGAGCGGTCTTTCGTGAAGTACGTGGAAGGGCTTTGGAACATCAAATGATTATTTCAAAAGTTACAATAGAAAAATGTTTTGTACTCCAAATAAGCATAGACCCTACTTATCCAGACATAGTATCAGAATTATTATGAGCAATTGTAGAACTTAAAAAATGCAGTCATCATAAATCTTGTAGCAATGTGTATTTCGTTTAAACGCGTTCAAAAGTCCACAAGAAACCAATTTTCATGAAAAATAACCAAAAACGGCTAAGTAGTCTTCTCAGAAAATTGATTAACTCATAACTCATACAAAGTCAGAAGGCTAACTGAATATCCTTCATATAAACAGGAGTAATCTTTTTCCTGTAGATAACCGAAAGAGATTGTATAATTATTATTATAACGCAACGGATAGCTTATAAACCAAATTTTTGTGTTTTTCTTAACCTATTTATTTTATCGTCATTCTCTATCTTCTCTTGACCATCTACTATATTTTTTATCACACTTTTACACTTCTCTGACTTCGAATAGTTGTACAAAACATAGAGGGAACAGAATAAACAGACATTGCAGAAGAGGATAGAAAAGATAGAGAATAATACCGTAGACAACACAGATACAAAACCTATACTGCTCTTTTCGCGTCACAAACATCCATTTCAAAATATAGTGGACTAAGGCATTTATTGAATAACACTTGATAGAAAAATGATGCAGACTTGCGGTTTTCATCGTTCAAAAGTAGACAACGGGGGAAGTATGAAAACTTGTGGCATCTGTTTAAAGTACCTGCTGGTGGTATGCCTCATCAGAATTCTTTGATCTGTTTGCCATTTTTGGGACCGCAAGACAGGGTTGTATGTATTTTCATGAAGTTAGAAATTTGTTAATTTTCACTGCACGTAGTTATTCTTGGCTATTATCTGTACAACAACTTTACAGTATGTTTCGGTAACTTTATTATCAAATGAACGTTGCCACGAGATTCAGCGTGGTCGATAACCGATGTTTCCATTCATTTTGGACGTTCCACAAGTCAATGTTACCGAAGTCGTAGCTCTCCGGATCATGGCTCAGAACTATTGTTAGATCGAGAGTTCGAACTTGCGTAGAATTGAGGGGGAGAGATGGAACAGTCAAAGCCTCCCTATTGAAATCAAGTGTCTTGAAGTTCCAAAAAGTGGTAGATAGTTCAAAAAGTTTTGGCGAAGCTTACCATCTGTAGTTTATCTGAACGAGCGCCACAGTGAAAAAATGCCTTGCTTCACTATATTTTGAAATGAATAGTAGTTGACTCTATAAATTCTTGCTTTTTATAGACCATTTTCTAACCATTTCCTGAAGTTTATGTCTTCAGGAACTTGTTTTCATGATTATCAGGAGTTGTCTGGAAAAAATTTTGATTTATCAGCTGATTTCCTGTGTTATTAGGTTTTCGATAGTACCGCATTCGAGAGATATATGCGCTGCATGTTTATGTGATGTTCGGTTGATTATGTATAAAAATCTATAAATAAACTTTTTATGGGATGTGAAAATTTTAAGACAATCGAATTTATTGACACAAAAAAGTAACTAGCGTGTTTTTTCTAGAAACCGTTTTTAATGTTAATAGCGTTTAGAACTTCCCAAAAATCTCATTAAAATGAGTTCGGGAGATTAATGTTAACTTTAATCTGATTTTTTGAATATCGCTCCAGCCTTTTAATCAGAAAAGGATTTCGCTCATTCGAACTTTGGACTTTTACACTCGGGAAAACTGTTTAAGTCAAAAGTAAAAACATTCAACGCTGTTAATCGTATTGTTAAGTCATTCTTTTGTTTAAGATTAATTTGAATTTTTCAATAGTTATAATTTGACGTAGAGTTTTTGGGGACATCTAACAACCCTTTTTAGATCCATGTTGACTTGTTGTCTCATGAATACTGATAGATGATGCATTAAAAACTTTATCATAATTATTCCTAGACATGACTAACATAACTTCAAACTTTTGTCCAAATCGGAATAAAAGTGGGAAAAATAGCATTCTAACACAGTGAACTTAAACAGATGGATTTGAGCTCGGAAAATATTAAGAGAAATCTTTCTTACTGTATTCTGAAGTTTTCATAGTACCCATCAGAGACCGAAACGGGTGGAGTCGGGTTCGGCCGTATCGAACCAGGTTCGGATCAATATAAAAAATCTTGATTCGGATCGGCTCACAGGAAAAAAGAATTTGGGTTTTATTCGGATCTTGCCACTAGACAAACAAATCAAGGGATTTTCTTCAATTACGGTTCACTCATCTATTTTCCTACATGTGTCTTTTTTATCGGAAAAAGAAGTGGTGTTTTTTCCTTCCTGCTTTGACACTGTGTAATGTACACTGTACAATGTCGCACTGTTGACGCAAAGAAAGAAAAGAAAAGAAAAGAAAAACATAAGTAACTCAAAAAAAAAATGAACGACTTAAATATTCGTCACATTATGATGATTAAACTTCATGACAATATACGATAGAGAAAAACAATTTCCTGTTTCGGGTTATCACAATCTGTATGAATTATCACTTGGAGAAAAAATCTGAGAAATGTTTTACGCTATCACAAAAGCTACAAGTTTATGTTCTGTTTCCAGGAAAAAATGTTAGGTCATTTAAGAAAAATTTTCGGGTCAAGTTTCGAAAATGTTTTGGGTCCGGTTCGGATAAAAAACCTTGGGGTCGGGTGAGGTTCGGGTTATCTTTTATTATCCATCTAAGACCCATTTCGGTCTCATCGTCAAAGACTTTTCCAAGTTTTGGAAACTATTTGAAGTATAGGTTTTTCAAATTTTCTTCAAAATATTCAGAGAAGATTTTCGATTGTGAAACTGTGAACACTTAAAAATCTTTAAATTATCAGTAGAATTTTCATGTATTTTTATACTCTTTGAATGATCTATCTTGAATTTTCTGATACGTTTAAGTCCTTATAAATATGCCTACTTTGTTAAGAGTTCAAGAGCTCTTCATTATGCAGTTCTTTTTACTACTAAGGTTTAGATAAGGTCTACTATTCTTTTTCATGAGAAAAAGTCTGCTTTAGATGACATTGTAAATGAAATCTATTACGAAAAAGAATAAAAACTGAATGAGACATTGATGTGATTTTTTTTCAAGAATATGTTCTACATAGCACCATCATCCTTTTCTGCATTTTTGACTATCATAGTTAACATACAATAAAATATCATACCAAGCCGATTAACATTGGAGACATCGATTCAATTGCGCGACTTTGATTATTGTAGTGAATATGGACCAGAAACAATGAATTTAGTTTACTGTCTGTTACAAATCTGAATTCATCTATTTCAGTTCGTGTAAGCAGAAAATTCATTTTGTGTTTTTGATAGTATAAGTTAGAACCAATACAATAGATTTGAAAGAATAAAGGTAGAATCAAATCGATTAGTAAAATTTAAACAGACTTAACTTTTGTATATATAGTTCTTTTTTATGAGAACACCTGACCGATATAAAACTTTCGCTTGATTTTCATGACTGACGGATATTGATTTATACTAGACATTTTTTTTTTCTTCTCTTTTACCATATGGTTCATCGAATCTGGAAGAGATACATACTAGACATGCGTGTGTGTGTGTGTGTGTTTGGGTATAATTGACAATGATGCAATTGAGAAGAGAAATGTCAGTCATTTCAAGGTTATCGAAATAAAATATTTACTTATTCTTGTTACAGCGAGAACAAATATGTATCATCCTGTTAAAGAAATAAGAGAAAAAGAAGTTGGACATTTTCTTCTACTTCTTCTTCTTCTTCTTTTTTTCTTTACTTAAACATTGAATACAATACAACTGTCCCAACATAAGGCAACATATAAACTTTCTCTTTAGTTCAATCTCATTTTTTTTCTCTTTACTCTCCTTTTGCTCGCTTCTCATTACTTAAGAAGACATATGAGTAGAGTGAATAAGATAAAAAACAGCAGACACATAGTGAACATGAACATACACACACGCATTTCATTTAGTTGACTTTAAAAAAACGAAGAGATTGAACATGTTACTTAGTTTACACCATCAAACATCAACAACGACTACAAATTGTCGATTAACCAAGAAAACACCCAAAACATGTAATAATAGTAATGATGATGAATTTTATGCTAAATTACAAAAAATAAGATTATCAACAAGTGCAAGTATGTATTTTGTCAAGCTAAAATCTAGTCTTGAAAAAAAAGAAAAAAGTAATTGTAAAACTATCTACGTTCATGTTTGCAATACGAGTAAATAGATGAAAATAATTTTATCATAGGTAACGTTGTTGTGAATCGAGATTTACGTTACTTCCATACTCAAAAGAGATACTTTTTTTTTTTTTTGCAAACTTACACTCAGTTATTTATGTCTCTTCTGACGTTATTTGATCTTACAAAGCCAATTAGAATGAAACTGTATCTCTTTTGAGAAGTTTTACATTTGTATCCTATAGTTTGCACAGCTTTTCTTTGTCTTCAAAGGTTTAGTGTAATATAAGACTGTTCTAGAGAACGATTTAAATTCAAAAGTCTACAACTATTGCCATTGTCGCATTTGCTAACGTTTTCTTCCTGTTAACCTCTACATTTGTATTTTAGTTAATGAGTTTTAGTTATACAAATCTATGTATGATCCTCTTTATTACAAAATAGAAGAGTATTGAGTTAAATAAAGATATATATTACACAGAATTCCTGTCTACCGATGATCATTTCTTTCTCTTTGTTGTATTTTGGTTAATCCTATTTAGAACGATTTAAAGAGAGCGATGTCGATGTATAACTGCTAAATGAGGTTGTATTTGTTTTCGTCTATCTGTCGATGACGATGATGAGTTGAATTGTAAAGTAATCATTATTATTATTATTATTCTAATAGAGCTTGTGTAAACCGTTCACTACAAAAAATATGTAGAGAACGAGACAGTGAGAGAGCGAGAGAAGAGAGAGAATCAAAAAAGTCAATTGCACACTCGATCATTCATGTCAAATAAAAAACGAGTCATACATGACAGGCTATTTACACACTAATAACATATACCTTAAACGCTGATTTTAATCATAAAATGGGGGAGACCTAGAATATTCAACAAATTTAAAGAGGTTGTCTATATATTAGTAATAATTTGTATACAACATGTTTCATCTTAATAATAGATTAACTTTGCTGATACTTCACTATAGACATCGTAAAAAGTTTTAATATGTTTTCCGCCTTCATTTCAAGTTTTATCCAAATACGTAACTATCAAACGCATTTAAAAATCGTTCATTAGTAAATACTATTCGAGAATGTGTAACATTTTGATTGTTGTGGTAGGAAACTAAGAAATTGATACCTATTGTTCTTGAACTATTTATTTCGTGTAATATATACGCAAAGTACAGATGGGCATCGGGACCAAAAAGTTTTCCTAGTTCCGGTCAAAGATTTGTATGCCATTCCATTAACTTTAGTGATAAACTATTATTTGACTACGCATTTTATACAGAAATATTTGCTCTTTCAGCCTATATATTTTAAAGTATATAACAAGTCTTCGTTATCAATTAATTTAGCAAATGTAATGACTGGGACCAGGTTGGTTCTGGTTTCCAGCAATGTGGTTCCGGTCATTGTATTTGCTAAATTAATTGTTAACGAAGGCTTGTTATATACTTTAAAATATATAGGCTGAAAGAGCAAATATTTCTGTATAAAATACGTGGTCAAATAATAGTTTATCATTAAAGTTAATGGAATAGCACGCAAATGTTTTACCGGAACCAGAAAACGTTTTCTAGTTCCGGTGTCCATCTCTAACCGAAAGATATCCTCAGATTATAAACGTTATTTTCATCGTTTACGACGATTTAACGTACATGGAGAAAGTTAAAATAGCTCATATCGAGAAATTGAAGAATTTTTTTTTACAATACATATGAATCAGATGTATTTAAGATGAGAAATTCTCGATTATTTCAACTAAAGATTACTATCTGATGTTTAGTGACATTGAGATGATATATCTGATCAGTTGTGTTGTTTTTTAATTTCTTTATAAATCATAAATAAAAATGGTACTATTTAGTCCTAGTGAAAAGTGATGACCTTTTCGATGATGTCCATGTTTCCATGTAGATATTACTTTTTCTTTCTTCGATAATGGGTATATATAACAAAAAAATGGTAGAGAAAGAAGAAAACAATAAGTGAACTTCAAAATCATCGTGTGGAGAGTGAGGAAATAATAAACTGAATGCTAGAATAACTAAACAGATTCCATAAAAGAATAATGATCCTTTGTTTTGTTAATTCATCGGTTTCTTCCTAATGAAATTTTATCTTACGCAAGATCTTACGTCAAGAAAAATTGTTTGTTTATTTTAAACTTTTATTCCATGAAAGAAGCTATGCTCTAATACTGATTAAATACATCTTATGATTGATTTTTCAGAGAAACCTACTCGTGGTCGTACAGCCGCTGAATTATTAGAAGAATCAAAAGCATATTTTGTTAAAAGTAAAGAAGTACTCAAAAAACGACAATGCTTCAATGAACAGTCACTAACAATACCAAAGACCACTGACGAATACCAGTAAGTTTTAGAGATGATTATTTCATTGAAAAAAAAGCTTCATCAACATATACTGGTGAGCTAAATGTATTTCTCTAAAACGCTCTATGAGAAAATAATCATATTTTAAAATGTTGACATTTTATGTTTTAACTGCTGTAAAATCGAAAATTGGATCATCGAACAAATCGAATTTTCATTTGGTAAAAGAATCCAATTTTGGGTAGTAGTGAAAATTGGACAAGAATTTAAACGATCTCGGAAATAACGCGGATTAGATCTCGATTGACTTAGTTGTATAAAAAAACATGGAAAAGATTCCGATTTTTACAAATAAATATTTGTATTTCAAAATCATGGAATGGATCTCGGAAAAATATGTCATAGATTTCAATTTAGTTAATGGATGGAAAGCATAGAAAAGATCTCGGTTTTTCTGCACAGAAGTTTATAACTAACACAACACTATGTTTAATTGATGATATTTTATCTTATATAATATTTCTTTTCAAAGATGATCTTGATTAGGGGTGGCACATTATTATTACTTTTAAGAGTAATCCAAATATTGTATATATTCTATTACCAGTAACAGTAATTCTTTCCAGTTTTACTGTTGCCGGTACAAATTTTATGAGCATTCCTATTACCAGCAACAGTAAAACTGGAAAGTATCACTGTTACTGATTACTGTTACTGGTAACAGGAATATATACAATATTTGGATTACTCGTAAAAGTAACAGTAATGTGCCACCCCTAATCTTGATTTAGAAGCAGTTAAATGGGTGAAAAAAGTTGATAAGACACAAATATTACAATTGAATACATTTAACTTTGTGGTACCATCAAAAGATTTGTGATACCACAAACAGTTGGAAAACGTCGAGGAAAAGATCGTCCGAAAAAAGTAAGACATGCATTATCAAAAGATTGACATCATTATTAGAATTATTACTATCATCATCGTCATCATAGAATATCTCTTTCTATGTTCATGTTAATTTGTCATAAATTCTCATAAACTTATAATTGATTCTTCATGATGTTTGTATTTGCTGAAATTTTTTGTAAATAGATGAAAAATTAAATTTCTTAATTTTTACTACCAAAATAATCTATATTAGGCCTAATTAATCTATGATAACAAGCATAGTATTGTGTTAGTTATAAATTTCTGTGCAAAAAAATCGAGATCTCTTCCATGCTTTCCATCCGATTAACTGAGTTGAGATCTATGACGTATTTTTCCGAGATCCATTCCATGATTTTGAAATACAAATATTTATTAGTGAAAATCGAGATCTTTTCCATGTTTTTTATACAACTAAGTCAAGCGAGATCTAATCCGCGATATTTTCGAGATCTTTTCTCGTTTTGTCCGTGAAAATTCATGTCGGCTGATCAAAGCATCTTTTGATCGTGGTGTCAATTACCTTCTTGATTAATAGAATACAGAAAAACAATCTTTTTGATAGGACTATTTGTTATAAAACATTTAAAAAAATGATCAAAAGGTAAACAAGTTTCATTACTATTTCGAAATTTCTTTTATTTTATCCAATGATAATTGGATTTTTATACCTTTTGTTTCCTGATCTCATTTTCGATTTTCCAAAAATGAGGATATGAATTATCGGTATTTTAACGGTAATAAATAATGCATCTGTCAGTATTTCAACTGTAACGTTCTCGTCTTTTATTTTTGAAACTTAGTTTTCGTTTTAAAAGATGCGCTATTTGAATCTCCAGAAAACACGTAGCGGCGTGGCTCGCTAATTCTGCTTTCTATCGTAAAGAAATTCCGTAAAGTTCCTTTATCATTTTGTTTTGTTTATAAATCGTAAACCAAACGACGCTGACAGCTGCGACACGTCTTAAATTGAAGAAAAAACTACTATGAACGTTTCAAAATGTGTCTCAGCTCTGATACATATCTCGTTTTAAAGGTCTGATAGAAATATTGGCAATTACTTTTCGATTCTGCAAAGTTTAAATCTGCGAGATGTAACAGAACTGAGACGTGTTTTAAAATGTTCATAGCAGTTTTTTCTTCAATTTAAGACGTGTCGTAGCTGTCGGCGTCGTTTGGTTTACGATTTATAAGCAAAACAAAATGCTAAAAGGAATGTTACGAAATTCCTTTACGGTAGCGGAATTAGCTAGGCGCGCCGATATTGAACATTTTTTTATATACTTTAAAAATAAACAGACATGGAGAAAATACTGCTAAGCTTCAATCTCTATTACTTTCCAATCAAAAAATCAACTTATTTTGAGCACGACACTATACATTAGAGTGAAATCAAAGGGTATGCTCTTATGCTTCGAATGGTGATCTTTCTATTCGCGTACTATAAATTCGCTGTTATCATATTTTCTTACACAAAAAGTGATTTTTTGATTGGAA